TATTTTAGCAGAGAGAACTATCTTGCCACGTTTTTATTATTAATTAATAGTTTTTAGAACACAGATTTTGTGTTGGGTGTTGGTCGGGTAAAGCTTTTTTCTGTACTTAAGAGTATACAAAATACAATCACAACGATGCTGAGATATTTGCAAAACTCCGTACCGCAAGTGTTTGCGGTGGGGAACGAATACGCTGTTACCCTTTCCGGTGGCCAACGCATTCACCACCACACCATGCGAGTCCTTCGTTTCACCTTTCTGTCAGTAGACACCTGCTGTCTGGAGTATTGCAAATATCTTAGCATCATTGTAGCTAACATTCTGACATTAGTGTTCATATAATGGGCCATGGTGAAATGTAGTAAATAACACCATAAATATCATTCATAGCCATGGAACGTTGCAGAATCGGGCTCTTTTAGGGTCAGGGAGATGGGGCTTGTTTATTTCACTGTGTTTAGCACTTTGATACTCGCGTATAGCTAGCTCCTCCCAGCGGTTTACCGTTTCATCGTGGCTAGGAGGTGTTCCTGGGTGTCGAACTGCGATAGGTAGCAGGGGCATTTTTCCCCCCGTAGGGTTTCCCAAGCTGAGAAGGAGTCCGTCGCTCCAGTCAGAAAGCCGAGCTGAGAAGAGCAAACCAATACGAGGTTCCCTCACCGTCCTGGAACTAAACTAGTCGTATGGTGGCAAAACTCCCTGTGGTCCACAAGAGTGGCGACCGCCTGTGTTGGTGAAGACCTGAGGCAGACTTTGGCCAGGCTGTCTTCTGGATTCCTGAGAACCACAATGGCTTAAGTAGCAAATCTCCGATAAATGGTGATTATGCTGGGGCCCGCACAACCAGCGAAGATGGGCCGTTTAAGTGTCAAGTGTGCCAAGTGCATAGCTTGCTGACCTCTGAACGTGGGGCTTGGTATACATACGGATAGCTTGCCAGTTTCTCCCAGAGTAGACGATGAGCTTATTTGTTGGAAGCGACTCCTAACCCCCTCCCTGTCAATTGATTGCAGGCTTTTGACCGAATTGACTGGTGGAATAGAATCCGCATAAACGAGAAAACATCTACGCGAGTTTGCATGAATACGTCCTCGTAAATACAGAAGGTACGGGCAAAATTGGCGCAGCAGAAACACGGAGTCCGTCCTCTGGGTCCACCTGCGCCTCAGGAAAGCAAAGGTCACTTTTGATTTGCGATTAATCTCCTATCCACCCCTTGGAAACGCTTCTTGTTATCTTGCGTCTAATCGACATCAGATCCCTCTATGAGGGAGCTCTGTGGATCGTCTCATTCAACATTCTCATGTTATCGCTATAAAAGGAGTTCAACGTCTCCAAGAGACGTCTGTCTCCAGAAACACTCGAGCTGATACGCCAGCGTGGAATCGCACAAGCTGCAGGCAACCGAGAACTAATGTCCGAACTTGCAAAACAGTGCAGACAGGCGATAAAAGAGAGAAGAGCAGCAGTAATGGTCGAAGCTGGGAAGAACATTAGCGAAGCCCACCGAAGCTTCGTCAATTACAAGACCAAGATGATTGCATTCCGACGTCTAGACGGAACAGTTACAGCGTCCAGAAAGGCAATGAAAAAAAAACCATTCACGAGTATTACAAATATCTCTTTAAAAACCAAGTTCTCCTCCCCTCATGTGAAGTAAAGGAGCCGGGCCGGAATAATGTCGGACCACCGGTTCTGCTTTCCGAAATCCGAAATACTACTTCGTCGGTGAAAAATCGAATAACACCAGATCGAACAGGATAAGATCTGAACACTTGAAGGACCTTCCACCAGTTCTCATGAGCGTACGGGCTCCGGTGTTAACACGTTACCCGTCTGAATGCAAGGTCCCTACTCAGTGGAATACCAGCAAGACCGTATTGTTCAAGAAGGGCGACCTCAACGATATCAGGAATTATCGCTCACTCTGCTTGCTGTCTGTCGTCTACAAACTTTTCACTCGAGTCATCCTAGCCAGGATTGACAGAACACTGGACGAAGGACAACCATGTAAGCAAGCAGAGTTTCGAAAAAGATTCAGTACGATGGATCACATCCACACGGTAACGAAACTTGTTGAGATATCGCAAGAACACAGGAGATCGCTCTATCTCACTTCCATCGATTTAAATGGTTTGGCCTCAGTTGAGATAAAGGGAACCTTGGACAGTCAGAGAGTTCCTACTCAGTATATAAAGGTTCTTCGTGAGTTGTATAAAAATTTCGCAACCAAGATATCACCACTTTACAACGATATTAACATCAACATCAGAACAGGGGTAACGCAAGAAGATACCATGTCGCCAAAATTATTTGCCGTTACCTTCAAAAACGTCATACCAACACTGTATTGGGAAAACGCTGGAAAATCGGTCAGCGAAACTAACACCATATTCGCTTTGCTGATGACATCGTTTTTATGACATCAAGTACTAGCCAAGTGGAACGAATGCTTGCCGACCTTGACAAAGCGTGTGGAAGGACTGGTCTTCGGCTGAATCTAACAAAAACGCTGTTCATGAGGAACAAATTGATTTGGTATGCCTCACTCACGCTCAACGGAATGAATACCGAGTGCTCCACCTACGTCTTTCTAGGTTAGGAAATTAACATGATGAAGGACATATCCCCGGAATTGAGCAGGAGGAAAGTTGAGTCGAGCGGTTATGGGAGCTTTTAAGAGCATTGACGATGTAGTTTCACACAAGTGAAAAGAGGGATCTGAAGCTCCGAAGTGCGTCAACGGTCAAAAATCAAAGATGCTGTGCTGTGTGCCAAACTGCCGAGGATGAGGTGAGTCGAACGCATGAACGGCAACCAATGGACAAGAGCCGTCAGTGACTGGCTTCCCTGGGATGTCAAACGTAGTGAAGGAAGACCACTGACCTGATGATCAAAGTTCTTGGAACAAATCCATAAGGACTGATAATTCGTCGTCGTCCAGTCCGTAACAAACAACAGATTAGACGTCGTCGCGGGAATGTTAAGGGAAATCATAATATTTCTCCTAGTATTAGGTTTATTTACCACCTTCGTGAATTTTTTTTGTTGCTCTGGATAAGTCATAAATCTTCTCGTTTATGGAAATAATCTTTGATATCCAAATATTCAATACATGTAGTATTAAAGAGCAATTTTTTGCTTTCGTCCTTTCTGCTAACGGTGTTTTTTGCAGTAGTTTTTTTTAAAATAGGGCTTTAGAGTATATTAATAAGAAGGGATAAAGCTGTCGGCATTGATCAATCCCTGAGGGATGCGCCTTGCCATGCATTCGACTTCACTAAGCATCGTTTGGAGGTGATTGAATGCATATCTGTTTTCTTGAAATCAGTCTCGTGCTACTTATCAATAAAAGAGAATACATTGATATTCCATCCCGAGGTTAAAGTCAGTTTAGAAAAGTCAATGCAAAATATTTGAAAGGCGCTTCACCAACAAAATTATTCCTTCGCAGAGGCGATCGCAGATAAAGGATAAAAAAGATGAAGCTCTCGCCGTTGATCAATACCTAACGGATGCGCCATGCATTCGCATTTCATTAAGTGTCGTTGAAGGTGATTGAATGCATATCTGACCTTTGCAATGACTCGCAGCAGCCTAGCGATATTTTAAACCAGTGCTTATATCCTCCCAAACAACTATCGCACCAATTCCCCGACTCCAGAGGGATGAAAGGCTTTGTGGGCCACGGGCACGGGGATCGATTCCATGTGTGTTGCACGGCGCCTCCGACCACTGCGCCACACTTGCCCCATTCCACAAGGATCACAGATGCTGTTGCAAATTAGCTGGCGACGTTATGGGCGTTAATAATGACAAACGTAATTCTGATAGACGTTGTAGATAAATTTTAAATACTCCTCAGATGCTTGGTCAAGAGATCGTATGCCATCCAACACACTCGCAAGTTAGATAGGTGTACTGATAAAGTTGACCACATTAAAGAAAGCAGTAATGAAATTGAAATTACATTCACCATTCTCCAGCGAATTCTATGCACAACAGCAAACATTAAAAAGGTTTCGAGGCAAAAAATGGGGCATCAGTACGTCTCAGGACTTCAAGTATCGCAGTTTAAGAGTTCTATTTACACTATTATCACTTATCAGTGAGAGTTATCGTCTATTGCTGATAGCGTAGCCTTGGCTGACGAGTCGTCGTAGAAGCTTAGGATCAATATCAACTTCGTCGAGTGTATCGCTGCCATGATATTATGGTTTGGAGACCTTGCATTCTACACCTGATTAGTTCTATACCACTTCATCTCACAAAAACCAAACTATTCTAAGAATTATGCGCTCTAAACCCCCATCCGCGCTACAGTAAGGAAACGCTTCTTGAACGGACGCTTCCACATCGGCGATTTTACAATTGGAGCACAAATGCAGAGATGCGTCCCACTGTGACTGACCAATGTCGTGAACTGTATTTTTTTATCTTCTTACCTACTTATTGGGCATAGTTATTATTCTTACTTCCTTTCTCTTTTTGAGGGAGAACCGTCTATTGGAATAGTTTCAAGAAGCATTTTTTTTGCAGTATCCCAGTGTCGATACCGCGTCGCGCCCAATTTCCGAGGCGATCGTTGAGGGAACTACGAATCGACGTTGGCAAAAATTTGGAGCCGCTAGTGCATCGGGCAAAGGTGCTGGGTCTGGAACGGATCAATGAAGATCAGTCATCAGCTATCTCGGGTGATGAAAAGGTTAAGTGAAAAAATTCGTTTAATTGTTCTTTCCTTGAACCAGTCTCTGTGAGAGAGTGGCGTAATTATTTGTCGTTCGCGTCAACGGTGTAGTCTTCCGTTCACCGTATCAGCCAGTTTTTTCAACTTCTGTCTTAACTGGCCGCTTCTTGCAGTGTTGTTCACATATATTTTAGGTTTGAGATTCGCCCTTCTCCAGAATGGATTTACACCCTCACCTTAGCTTGTGGGTGTCGAAACCATTGTGAGGATTTGCTGTCATCCTAGTAACAACGTAGTCACTAGTTGGTTAGCGATGACTTGGGAGCTCCTTAACACGGCTTTCCCAGTTTCTAGGCCAAGCAGCGAATTAGTAGTCAAATTGAAACTCTATAGCGTTTCGTACCATTTTTCATTATTTTTAGTGTGGGCCATTCAGACGTTCAAACACTTAGGTCGGTTTAATATAGAACTTCCATTTTTTTTCAATAATAAAAAAGATACTACAAATTTTGAGGATCCCAGCAGTTCTTGCATTCGATTCGTTTTCTTGCATCCATATTCCAGAAGGTCTTCAGATTTTTGCTTGTGGATTCTGTCGCTGCTTGAGGATTTTGTCTTTCTCAATCTTGTTGAATACTTGCCACATTGATTTTCCTTGGGATAGTTGTGTATGCGTCCTAAAGCATTCCCAGATCTTCATCGAAGGCGGTCATTAGCTTTTGTGGACTGTAGAGGTCGAGTTAATCCCAGTGGTACCAATTTCCCAAGTCCGGAAACATTGGGGTTTGCTAGGCTTGGAGCAAGGTTGAAGTAACGTTTCGTTCAAGTTTCGAAAACATGAAGAATCATCGTTTGTCGAAAATCTTCACTTTATTGGGGCTGTTAATGATTTCACACTCTTTAGTCAATGTTACCACTAGAATAACCAGGCGATCTTCCAGTCAAAAGCTGTTTTTTTAATAGTGGACTTTATCGTGAAAGATAAAGCATTTGATTGATTCTGTCTACCAACTGGCTTCTGCCCGTCATTGAACAGACCAAACCCACTTCCAGCACTTCGAAGGAATGGAATAGTTATACAACCATGACCAATTAAGCGAATAATTCGTAACGCTACAGAAATTGGCATACAACGGAAGCCAAATCTTTCACATTTTATTCAAATGAGGATTTCGTTTCTTTATGCGCTCTTGTTGGACTCATTTCTCACTCTTACAGCCCATTGCGCCACCACGCACTTTACGAGCACACACGAAAAGTGCCGTTCAGACGGTGGCCACGGCCGAACAGCGGGCGAGTTGCATTTCTGAATCGAACTCGGATCGGCCACCCAGTGAACGAAGTGTGGCCGAAAGGATAGAGAACACTTTGCACACGCACTACTACACTATCGCGTACACTCTTGTGATCGTTGCCGTGAGTTCAGGAAGACAATTCTTACGAAAAAATGTTGAACATGAAGTTCATCCATCTTCTTATCCATATCTCTTTATTCTTGAATAAGAAAAAAGCGGCTAGGCAGTGCTAAGGATTTTCGTTTGGTCTTAGAGTTTTTAAAGATTTCTCAGAAAATATGAGTATTATGCAAAATTTTCAAGAACAATTGCAATTCTTCATTTTTATGAAGTGTTGACAGTTACAAAATTCAGTAGAGGGTTGAAAGCCAGTGGAGACTTTGTTGTCTTTGTAAAGCTTATTTTCCGTTCACACGCATAAGTACTAAGAAAGCATCCACCTCTACGACTCGAAGTCTATGATTTACAGCAGTAGCACCTATCCATACCAACATTGGCAGTTTTCTGCATGTATTGGTTCCAACAGAGATTTGCTGCGTTAATGCTATGCTTTTGCGAGGAAGACAGTAGCTTACAGCATTGGGATAGCTGAAATCCTTAGTGGAAATTCCGAACTATTCGTAACCTGGAACAGCTCTTCTTGTGGTGAACTCACCTTGTCTCCCAGTTTGGTACGACCTCTCACGAAAGTCAACGAGTAACCATGGCATTCTATAGGAATCCTTAGAAATTACGGAGCATTGAAATAAAGGATAAAGCTCCCAGCGTTGATAAATACCTGACGGATGCCATTAGACTTCATTAAGCATCGTTTGGAGGTAATTGAATGCAGATCTGACCTTTACAATGATTCACGGTGGCCTACCGATGTATCGAGCCAGTGCTGATATCCTCCCAGACAAGTCTGGTACAAAGTTGCCGACCCGGAAGGAATTGAAGGCTTGGTGGGCAATGGATGCGGAGATCGACTCTACGTGTGCGTTGCAGGGCGCCTCCGACCACTGCGCCACACGCGCCTTTGTGGAGTATTAGAGGTGACGGTAGAGACAAAACTGGTATTCGAAAACGTGTTTTCCTTATTATTATTATTATTACTTGCAGAAATTAAGCGTTCTTAATAGTTGTGTGCTCGCCAGACGATAAAACATCAATGGCTTCACATTGTTCCATCTCCGAACTTCTAACGAACGTTTTTATTTCCCGAACTTTACGAGCAATTCGACAAAAAGCAGAGAATGAAGTGCAGGGTTTCGAAATCGTGGTGGTTACCTTCATATGAGTGAATATGCTATCTTGTAGAGTATCTGGTGTTATAAAAAACTGCGTATAGTACAATGGCTAAGGGTACCCTCACAGTACACCCATGCTCTTTCGTTCACTGATTTGATCGAGCCTTCTAGCTCTTCCCCACACAGCAGCGCTGTTTTATCTGCTATTCTTTATATGGGAATTATTTGAACGTTCAGAACACTTTCCAAGAAATTATCCATGGAAATCGATTCTCATTTAACCCAAGAATGGACAATCAATATATTCCCGGGTTATTAAGCTAATAATGGGTTATTAAAAAGTCTTATTCGCGTAGTGTTTCGGCACCTTCACTCTCTTCATTCATGATAAATAAGAGGGCACTGTTGAGTGGGTTTACTTCATCCGAGAAGTATTTTACTTCACTGGATTTGACCTGATGCGATTACGAAGACTCACACAGCAAGCAGGGACGACTCTGGGGGATCGGCTCGAATCAATGCAACGTTAAGGCAAAGGGCAGAAACGTTAGCTGAATAAAGCTTCAATTTTGTGTTAATTTAATAACCCGAGAAAATGTTCACAGAGAGTATTTTAAATTCACTGAATCCTAACCGTTATAGTACCTGGCTGGATTTGCCGAGTACGTGTACTTCCGTCTGGTGTCGATTTTGATTCCGGAGCGAATCACCTACCATCCAATTTGTCACGAGAAAGAGGGTCGTCGAGTAGGCAAAGATGGCTTTCATTATGGCGTCTCTATAGGCGCTTTCATCGCTATCGCACTTTTCCAGTTAATTGTAAGTTTCAAATCTACCTTTCCTAGATATATTGATGGTTTTAATGCATCTTTTATTTCATTACAACTGTCTTCTGTTAAAACTTCGGAATATTGTTTCTCTTTTGCCAAGTGGGGCAATTCACCGGGAGGAAAACTTTCCTCCTACATGGAGGAGAGGTGCTTATAATTATTAGCTAACTTGTAAGGCTTATTTTCTTGGAGCGTTTGGTTCAAGCTAACAGTTTGTGTCGTTTTCTTGTTCAGCAATCGCGAGGTTTTTAAACAGCATACATTTACTTCCATAAAAACACAATACAATACAACGCTAGCTGACGTTTCGGCAGTATCGCCTTCTTCAGAGCCTGGAAGGGCATGCTGATATACAATCTACTAGGCCAAACGCTTCAATAACACTTACACAAAGACGAAAGACTCTTTGGTAATTACACGATCAACAACTTCTCGAAAAACCCACCGCTTTTTCGTGACTTCCAATGAGGAAGTTTAGAACAGCTGATTATAGTCCCATGTGGTTGACGACTGCACCATCCCACATCAAAAATCGATGCGAACGTACGGGATGAGGTCGCGTATGACCTCCGGGCATTCGTCCCTGCTATTCATTGTAGGGTTTTTGGCATTGATCCAAAAAGCTTCTAGGAGTTTTCGCGCTGGTGTTTTGGACTCCTGTGCAAGGATATTGACTTTTACTTCAAAATCGTCTCCGCTATGCTT